TTCAGTGCACAAAGGAGGGAGAAAAAAAAAACTGCACAAAATTACTCACCACTGCCAAAATGTGGGAAATGTAAAATGTAGTGGGTCATTGTACTGGGGAACACGTTTATATCTCACACTTACCCAAATGATCCCTGTCATTAATGTATTTATTTATAATCTTTTGTTTGAAATGCATCAAAAATTGTGATTTTTTAAAAGTTTCACCAGTTAAAAAAATATACCAGAACTCTACCAGGACTACAACTGCTTTTAATCAGATGTTCACTAACTATTTAAGTGTTGATCACTATTTTTATGTTTAAATGATTTGTCGTTTGTCAGAAGTAAAAAAAAAAGTTACCAAAGCCTGAGATGATGTCTTCACACTGCTTGATTTATCAGACCAAAATCCAAAAACATCAAATTTACAATGATATAAAAAGAGAGAACAGCAGAACTTATTGTTTGTGATTAATTGTGTGTCAATCTAATTATTGTTTCACCTCTAAACTCAACTCTTACGATTTGATTAATGGCAGGACAGGTGATACTAACTTTGATCCACTGGATTTTCTATCTGTAGACATACTAAATATTTTATTCCTGTTTTCTTTAATAGGTGAAAAGTTTTTAGAGTAAAATCAGTCAATAATAAAATCCATTTCAATGACCTACGTCTGAATATCAGAAAACATAAAGTTCTGAATCTCCTTGAACAACATCACGCAGCACCTGCACTGCCCGCACGTCACTTTCAAAACCCCAAATTCCAATCTTCACCTGTGAAACCCCTTTGCCAGCCCACCTACTCTCCACGCCACCTTCAACAAAGGGGAAAACACACACACGCTCTCTCTAAAACACACACACACACACACGCATCCCTAAGCAGCTGCGTCATTATAAAACTCTTTTGAACTTCACACTGGAAGTCAAATGCCACATGTGTCAGTACAAGACAGATGTACTGCAGCTGCCTCTTGGCTCCAATTTCATCTGTGATACAAGCCTCTCTCTCTCACCCTCTCTCCCTCACTAGCAACCCCCCCCCCCCCCCCCCTTCACTTCCATACCACCCCCATCACCAGCAACCTCACCCTGAAGCCCTCCGCCTCCCATCATGCACTGACAACATCCGCACCTTTGAAGTCTCATCACTAAATCAGAACATCTCCCACCACACACAAATCAACAGGCCCAACAGAGAGCATCTCTGTAGGCAGGTTTTGACATTCAAACAAGGGGATAATTAACCTCAAATATTTATGTAGCAACCAGAGGGTCCACTTTTAATAATTGTTCAAATGTTCAACCAGCTTCCTGTCAGGTTTCATGCTATACAAGCTTGAAATAACTTGCACATCAGAAAGTGGCATGTGCAACCCCAGTAAAGTTTAAAAAAAAACGCACAACACGTAACCTTTCTTTAAAAATATTTATTGTCAGTTCATGAAACTCAAATGGCTTGGCTGATGCTGTGTAGTATGTGTGTGTACCTGGCTAACAGGGTTCAGTGTGTGAACTTGCAGCCTGCAGAGACCTGTCCTCACCATTAGGGGTCAGTGTGGAACTGGTTCTTCCCCCCTCAGACAGCTTGTCCTCTGTTCCAGCTCTAAATGCTTTCCCACTGCACAAGAAGTCCAAACTGAGCATAGTTTGAATAGATGTGGTATAAAACAGCATCAGGATCAGTTCCATATTACTGTTGCCTTTGTTGTTGTTTTCTAGCATTACTGTAGCACATGGACCAGTGTGACTCTGATGGTTTAATAGAAATAGGAAGAGAAGAGAAACTCTGTAGTTCTGTGACAGAAAAATCCATCTGAACATCTTTCCAGTTTATAATTAACAAGCTTTTAAAAATACTTTTTACCAACTTGAAAAATAGTGTTCCTTTCGTTCTCTTCATATGTGTTTGCAAGAAGTTAAAAAATGGCCTTCTCCAAGACCGGTCCTCTCCATTGTTCTGTCTTGTGTGTGTCTATTGTGACACAAGTTCAAATAGCTCAGGAATTAAGGCCTATATTACAGTGGACAAGCATTTTAGTTCTCGTTGCAGAGCCAAACAGCTGCACCTCAAGCCACGTAATTTACATTGACCAATTTCACCCAAAGACAACACGTCTGTGTTTTGTTTTCCTACAGATCTAATTTCTTCAGCCATGAATAAGAAATGTTGTCAAAACATCTTGCAGTGGAAAAGTGGCCGGTGAGGAGCAAGACAGTCTTGGCTTCCTGCTGTCAGGCTGACGATCATCTGTAAGCCTCCTTCACTATATGTCCCCCCATCGTGATTAGCAGTGATTACTAGCCTGTTAGGTTGTTTTAGATCTTGCATGTAATCTGCAGGTCTACGGCGTCTGGAAGCACTTCAGCAGACACACACAAGCCTAGTGTTCAAACCTGGACTGAGACAGGCGCTCAGGAGAGACTGCACAGCCCTCTAAGAAAGACAGGTTTCTTCTCTCATTCTTGGCATAACTGTCCAGTTCAAATTAGACACGACTGGACTTGTGATTGTAGTGGATTAAGCACCAGATACTGTATACATTCTTGACCGTGTATAGTGACGATGACAGGAATCGTAAAACACAAGCCGAAAAAGTCAAATAACCCCTCCACAGATAAAATAAACACCGCTCTGAGCTGATAACATACAGTCTGGTCTAAGCATTTCAATGTTGTGAATTAGCTACTGTAATAGCCTAACGTTTGACATGATGTAAACACAGAAAAGTATATAATTTTTTTTTTTTTTTTACAATAAGCCAGAATGACAGTGAAGTAAGTGAACTCCCATATGCCCCACAATGCAATTTAGTAAAACAAACAAACAAACAAAGGTTATTGTACATATTTACAATAGGAGCCTTTTTTTGTCTCGCATTCATGAGCCACTGCAGTGACTCTTGGGAATATGGTAAGAAATACACAACTCAAAACAAAATACACAAGCATTCAGACCACAATAGCAACTCGCAATTCTCCTTTCTCGAAACTCAATTGTTCCCAAATGTGAGAAAGAAACTTTTATTTTTCACATTCTAAAACTTGTTCACAAGGTCTTTCTCTGGACTTTTTCCTCCTTGCTCAGTCACTTTCCTATTAATTGGACACCCTGGGGGGTATTTTAAGACTTAATGCACTGTCTTCCATAGGGTGGCAAAGCTCCAAGTATGTGTTGGTAAATGTTTCACAGAGCAGGGCTGACATCAACTGTTGGAGGACAGACAATGAATGTGCTTACATACACAAAATGTACTCTGATATTACTGGGCAGACTCAAATATTTATTTTAGGACCTGGCATTTGTAAATGCCACATCTTGTTTACAATAACAGGGATAAACGTGAATATGACGGCTGAAACGAGCTGATATTAATGGGATACTGGCCCACGTAAACATCTTACTGGTTGGGATCAGTTACCTCTTTTTCCTGGTCCTATTAAGAACATTTAAAACTCATTCTCTGGACTATCATCTGTTTTGGAAAAGCTGTCGCCATTAGTAACGGTAACCAATAGAAACCGATGAACTCTTGATCACTATACAGAAAATTCAGCGTTAACGTGTTGGAAATACCAGCGTCTTTCACTGTTTTATAGAAAATGATTATTAACGTTAACTTATTAGAGGGACAATATGAGCCGCAATGACTTGAAACTTCACATAAAATTACACAGCAGCATGACACACCGTGTGAGATCTGTGTTAACCAATGGCCTTCATTGTGGTTTGAACTTAAAGCTGCATTAGTCAACCTCTTTCCATCAACTTCTTTTGGCTCACTGTTTGTTTGTTTTTATGGCAGCTTTACTGTGTAGTTCAGTCTCAGTGCCGTCAGCAAACTGCTAAATAAACCCACTTCACGCTTCCAGCTTGGCACCAAAAACCAGACGGAGAAAATGGTCACCGGGCTAGTGACCATAGTGGAGCAGCTAATGAGCCAGATATGTTTCCCAGGAGTTGGTGGAAACCAAAGCAGAGCTAAAAGGAACGTGAATATTAGACTTGGGATTGGAAGGCAACCTTTTGCTAACATGTTAGCCATAATAGTTTTATTCCAGGGTTGTGTGTCTCTAGTTTTGGAGTGTATCTCCTAAGCTTTAATGTGTTTTTGATATGTTCATACTGCCACATGCATGTAAACACATAGACATGTTTCATCTGCTGGGTGCTACAGTGTAAAGTATACTGCTAGGATTGTGAAGATTGGACATGACAGTCAAAGTGCTCTTTCACCTTTTGTTATTACCAATAGCTGCTTTAAGTTTTCTAATTCTCACAAGTCTCACATCTGTTACAATTTGCTTTTCAATGTTTTTTTAACTATAATTTATTTTCAACTCTGGTATTTAGTGAACAAAAAACATCACACATCAGATTTTGTTTAACAAACATCTGACAAACATCTTGAGCCGAATTGTTAATGCTAAAAAGTTCTTTACAGTGCAAGGGGATTGATGCAGCTAATTCTGCGCTGATAAATTAGACTTTGATCACAGTCTACTTCTAATGCATGCGGTTCACTTAATATTGCATGTTCACATACAACATGACACATTTGTTTGAACTGGTCTTCATCGCCATAGTTTGTTTGTATCAAGGCAATCTTTGTACTGAATGTGACTCAATGTAAGCTCCTCTTTAGCGGGCTGCCACTGCCTGCATGCTACTATATGTAACAGGGGACATGTATGTTTAATTTTCTAACCACTGAATGCGGCAGACGGATCACACGGGGAAATGTGGTAACATGAACATACTCGTTCTTCCAGTGGTGAGCCGGTCTTCTCTTTACAAATATATTCTCATTCTTACCTAGACCTCTTCAGTCGCTTCAGGAGAAAAACAACACGTACAAACAGATAAAATGTCAAACATAGGGAGGAGAAAGTGCAAATATTTTGGCGCTGCTTCATTTTCTTTTCTTGTTTTTCTGTTCATTTTTTTTTTTTTTTTTTTTTTTTTTTTTTTTTTTTTCTAAACTTAGGAACTTCTTAATTTTTCTGCTCCATCTTTCTCTTTCCTGTCAGCAAGCGTACAGATGCCTTCCCTCTGTGCCCTCTGCTCTCGTCTCAGCTTCTGGATCCTTCTCTTCTCACACCAGACGACCTACTGGGAGCAGAAGGACGGGCAGACGAGGGCGGGAAGGAGAGAGAAAAGGAAAAGAAAACGTATTCACACGTCAGTTTCAGTGTCCAGGCCACACATGTGCTGTTGCATGAGCTAACTTGGACAGACCAGCACAAGCACACTTTAAATAATGTATGTAAAATCTAATATACATAGTTTAAGAAATATAATTTTCTTAAAACCATTATTAGAGATGGATGTTGCGCTCATGGGGAAAGCAGATCCGTCCTCATCGCACCAGAATCATTTTCCGCAGTGAAACAATAAAATAAACTCCAGTCCAGACTGAAGTTTACCTAAAAACCAAAAATAAATAATTGTACTCTTCACTCACTAAAACTGTAACACAGCAATTCTGCTCCTTACTGTGTTGATATAACTACTTTAAATGCAATGTGAAGCAACGGGGATGACAGTGAATAATTAGAAATAGTAAATGTTTCAGTTAAATTACGAATTTATTGTTCTTTTATTAATTCAGTAAAAGAACAATAAAATCAGTGGTTACCTCCTAAAGATTGACTGCTCCACCACCAGACGATCCACATGCACCGCCACATGTGCTGATGTTAGGTTACAACATGGCTATAACTCTACAGGTCTCTGAAGCTGTGTGTTGTGTTGCACTCGTGCTGAAACTGCACGGGACAGTCGGTCAGTGTGCAGCACAAGAGATTGACTGCTCGCTCATCAATGGACCAGTGGGTGAGAGGGGCAGGCGGCGGGGAGGGAGCGAGAGAATGAAAGAAAGAAGGAAGGAAAGGCCTGGGAGAAGAAGAGATGGGTAAAGAGCTTAGATTGCTTACAGATGGCTGTGAGAGGGGAGCAGAGGTCCAGAGCACTGTGAGAGTCCAGGGTGTGTGTGTGTGTCTGTGTGTGTGTCTGTGTGTGTAAGTTTGTATGCACCTCTGTATTTTTCATGTGCATGGTAAAGAAAGTGTCTGAGCATGTATACATGTGTATGTGTGTGCAGTATCTCAGTCGATTTGCATTTCCTGTGTTTATTAGTTTGTCTTTGCAAGCTTGTGTATATGCTGTATGTGTGTGTCTCTACCAGCCTGTGTGTGTGCGCGTGTGCGTGTGTGTGTGTGAGAGAGTGCAGCAGTCGGTGGGGGTGGGGATATGCAGGTGCGGTCCATGTCAGTGCTGGTTATGTTAGCCATGAAATAGAAGTCCAGCTGATTTCACTACACGCTCTGGAAGCTTCTGTAGTCTGAGGCTAAAACATCTACTCCAGAGTCGAGTGCTCTCCTCAAACTCTAAAGCATCACAATCTCCCCACAGCTCCATAAATCACTGGCTACGTTCCACATGAGTCAGTTTACTGGTGAATGTTTTCACCTATACTTTAAGTGTTCAGCATGAAGCCGTGAATAAAATATTACAGCCACATATTTGTACTGTGACTGTTTGGATTCATTCAGGTGACTACTGTATTAGTCTGTTGCAAAAACACAACACTGAATCCACCTGCATCAACACAGTACAGAGCTTTCACATTATCTGCTATAAACACAAACATGTAAAACAGACCAGCCCCAGCCACAGGGGTTTGTTTGGCATGCACTGCATAAACCTACGACTGTGTGGACTTTAACTTTGACATTTTGTGTTAAGGTGACTGGAGGGCACGAGGTACAAGCTCTTGGCAGTGTCCAAAACATTTATCCCCTCGGAAGCCTGAGAATGCTCAACAGACTAAATGGTGATTTGCACATTAGGGTTTAGGCAGCTTTCATATACAAGTGGAGGTTTGGGTCTGATCATGGATGACGTTACAGTCTAACCTCTGCGGAACATAAAAGACTAATTTCATGTTATGATGTGAACAATATGGCAACCAGCTGGCCTAACTCCTAACATCGTTTTAGGATATGAAGAATCATTTTAATGTTGTAAATGGATTTTTAATCAGTGTCTGTAACTGTAGCACTTTGTATATTCAGTGTGATTTAGACGTCACAGCCCTGGCAGCGTTGGTTCTACCTGTTGAGCTGTGCAGTGCCACAGTATTTCGCGATGCCTCTTTCTAGTGAAGTCATGCTGCTCCTCTCTTTAGCTCAGATAAATGTCTCTGTTGTACCGAGCTGAGCTACAGTGGTGCTGATGAATCGGCTTTGCAATTACCAGGCTCCAGAGCAGCGAATGGTCCTCTCCCTCCTTTCCTCCCAGTCACTGAGGACACTGTCTGTGCCATTAACAACACAAAGCTCCCCGGCCTCTCCCTGGACACCTTGGCCCCACTTGTGATAAAGAGCTGAAAGCAGATCCCGTCTAGAAGTGAATCGGCTCGACTCACCTGGGACCGGCCAATAAAGACACTTGGCTCGGGAGCTGGGAATCATGGTATACCTGTACATGGTGGCGACTGGGGGGAGAGGACTTGGCTAACAGGAAAGATGCATATAAATTCACTGTGAAGGATTTCTGTAGCAAAATCACCAAAAATACAGGGAGTGACGGTGAGCAAAGCAATGCTTATCTAACTGTCACCGTCCTCTCTGTTGACCTCTGTTACCTTTAACAGTACAGTGTGTCGAGCTGATGTCACAGTAATTAAAACACAAGTGGTGTGGAGTAATTGCTGCTGGCTCTGAGAGGATAGGGCTCCGGGCTCTCTAATGGTCCTGCAGCCCCGGTGCCAGGCCTGCCTCATAATGCCCTCCTTTCATTCCCGCCTAATGACAGACACAGCCAGGACAAACAGGAGAGGAGACGAGAGGAGACGAGAGAGGAAGAGCGGAGAGGAGTTTGACATAAAACAGCAGACAGGACACTGAAAGCGTAAGGCCATGTGCACATCTGACTGCTCGTGTCGGAGCCGGCTGCAGCTACAGAGCAGTACAGGGAGATTCAGATGGTCTTTGTCAGGTGAAATAAGTCTCTAAATGACTTCAGTGACAGGATGGTAATATATTCATGTTCCTTCTCAGTCACTCCTACTTAATGATGTCAGATTGATATTTATATGATCATAAACTTACCATTATACTGGCTCATGGAGAAATGCTGCATGCTCCTGTCACTACCCTTAAACCACTGGACGCCATTTAACCACAGTCCCATTTCATTCATTACAAACTCTCCACTGTGCGATATATGAAAATACAGGATGTTCATCTCTAACAACAACAAAGCAGCAGCATCGTACCTGTGTCTCATTTGTAAGGCCTTGCTATCTCAAGTTGCCGATATATTTAAAAGCCTCAGCTGAGTTCAAAGTGAACAAACATGACACCAGATCACTGGATCAGTCTCGGCTTTTGAAGTTCCTCATACCAACTAAACTGGGGCAGGTCTCTCAGTCCTGGAATAAACTGAGACACGGCCTGAAGTCAGAGACGCTCATTCCTCTGAGGGATTATAAAGTCATGCTTACTGATATGTTTAATGTGATGTAATTGTATTGTGATGCAGGGTTTAGCATGTAAATTGTGTCATGAATAAAATTGCCTAAATAATTTTTATAACTGTCCATTTCTGACACAAAGTTTAAGAATAGGCGACAGTTGCAAACAGATGCAGAGGCTACAAACAGCACTGCCCATTATCATCTGTAATTCAGCCTCTATATAAAGGAATGGCTTTTAGTCCCTGTTGCTGTGACTGAAGTTGTGTATGCAGCACACACTGTTTGTTCCACCTAGTTATCAAATACACAACTACTCATGCTCAACAACAGCTGATGTTTTCTGCAACATAAACCCTTTGTCTAAAACCTCTGTAAGCAATCATAACAGATCCTCTAATATCTTATAATTGTGTGTGTCCGTGTTCGGTGTGTTTTTGTGTGTGCGAACATTCATACATGCACACCCACATGTGTTTGTACTTATTCAAAAGTGTGTTTACGTCTTTCTAAATAGAATTAAGACTTCTGAAGAGAACATCATGAACCCTGCTGCCAAAGCCCATCGCAGGAAGTTTAACGGTGAAACATTTTTTGTGTTTTTCTCGTCGCAGTGAACGAGACAAACTGCTGGAACCGTCTGAACCAGCAGACCTGCTTCTCAGCCGCGGCCTCGAAGGCTTTACAGAGAAAATCACCGCCCTGGGCTTCTGTTACATATCTCATCTGTAATGAGATTTCCAGTCTCTTCAGAGGATGGATGCCACCCTCTCCAGCACTTCAGAACTCACACAAGGTATTCAGATGTTTTCCTTCGCCGTTTCCAACGTGTCGAGAGTGAGGAGCCTCATACAGATGTGCTCCACGCTGCCCCACATGCTCTCACTATCCTTCACCTCAGAGCACGTACTGTAAACTGTAAATATGTCCAACAACACTCCAGTGACGGTCCAAAGCTGCGACAGAGCATGATAAGATTTAATGCCTGGCAAAGGCAGCTTGACTTAAAGGGATCCAGGCCATTAAGGATCAGCTAAGCATACCTGAACACAATGGCCGTCTATCTCTGTCAAGGCAGAACGCTGCCATATGTTCTCACAGACTCCTGCTTCTTTCTCGCAGGCTTTCTGTCTCTCTCCTTCTCTTTTTACATACCTCACTCTGTCCACCATCAGTGCCTGAGTGGCAGCATAAGGAGCCATATAAAGCTGTCAGGCCATTTAACTGTAGCTCTTAAGCATGAAGGTGAGAGATTCAGTGACTACAGGGAAAACAACCGGCCGAGGCTCCTTCTCTGCTCCTCCAATACCCGAGCTGTTTATCCTGGCAGCCCTGCCCAGGGTCCGAGAGACCTGACGTTATGCCCGCTCTGAGCCACTGTTCTCCAGGCACAGCGGGGCAGCGCCAGGGTAAACACATGACCTCAGCGCTTTGTGGCGCTGAACCAGCCGAGTGGCCAGAGTCAACAGCATCAATGGGACCAATAATCGCTCAATGGGGGGAATCCCGACAGATTGAAAAAAAAAAGAGATTAGGATGAGGAGGAGACAGACTGAAAAAGAGTGAGATGGACTAACAGACAGAAAGACAGTAGAATAGTATTCTTTTTATTGTCACTTAAATGTTTTAGTAATTTTTCAAGCAAAAATGCCAAAAATTCTCTGATCTCAGCTCAGTGTGAATATTTGCTGCTTGTCTTTGTCACATATGATAGAAAACTAAATATCTTTGGGTTTTAGATGTTGGTCGGATAAAAATAAATATCTGATGATGAAACCTTGGACTTAAACAATTTATAATGGACATTTTTCCACAATTTTCTGACTACAAGTCATGTTAAGAGTTGGCTTTATGGCCACTCACCGGAGACAAAATCTGACTCGTATTGAGCCGCTGACATGACAACGAACACACACCACACTCTTGACAAAAGTGCACATGCACACAGGCACCACCAGCACAAAGAGCTCAACCCTGAAGTGTGCTTTGCTTTGCGTGTAAAACGATTGCTGCTTTGCCAACGAGCCGAAACTGCCCCAAACTAACTAATTTCACCAAAGTGCTGGTTAATGGGTTACGCATTGAGCCAACTACAGCAGCACCCAAAGCCAGAGGCGTGGTTAGTGGAAGCATATTAGTTTGCCTTACTGAACAAATTTGTCCCTTGCCTTGTCCCTTGGCTGCCGCTTGTTGTTGAGCTACCTGCAACAGAGAGAAAACAAAGACGACTGAAGGTAACGGAGGCAGATGTTTTTGTTTTTTAGGTCACTAAAGAAAAAATATGAAAGTACTTTTGCAGTAACTATATCAGAATATTTCAAAAAATAACAATTCAAAAAATGATTTGGGTCATAACATTTAACACTTATGACTGTGACTCTCATTTTGAGTTTGTTTCATGACTTCTGGCCTTTTTCTAACCAGGTAAAACCTTATTTCAAAACCTCTAAAGATGAGTGTCAGTGAGAACATCCCTTTTCTCTGTGCTGGATGATATGTGGATTGTAGCTGGCAGCAGCCTCTCCCTGTAAGCTGCTTTGACAGTTGTTACTGATCTATATTAGGGCCAGTCTGTAAACTCATGATGAGTAGTTACAGTTTTGCGGCCCAGACAGTGTCTAGGATCCACGACTACATTAGTCTTGTCTAAATATTCATCAGTGAGTGCTGAGTGGAGCAGTGCACCTTATTTAGACTGCCAACACATCTGTTTGTCACATGCAGCACACTTACTTCATCCTCTGACTGAGACAGACTTTTTTTTTTTTTTAAACTTTGACACGATGAAAAGATTAGTAAAAATCTAATGTAAGAGTAAATGGAAATGTCATCTTATAACAAACAAGGACCATTTTTATTCTTGTACATCCTAAATTCGGCATTTCTGAATGAACTCATTCTAGTTTTGAAGCCTCTCCACTGGTTCAAGATTTACTCGATCTGAACCATTAGAGGAGCAGATCAACTGTAGAAAGTGAGTGTTGTGTGTCTGACTGGCTGTATGCAGAGTTTCCCAGCTGGACTGAGGTTCATACCAAGGTCATGACCCTACTCCATGACCCCGCCAACCCAGCTTCCCTCTTCCTGCCTTACCCTCCTTGCTGACGCCCAGACAGCCCTTCAGCTCCTGCAGAGAAATGGCCCTGTCCTTATTCAGGTCACAGTAGTCGATGAACTTGCGGGAGCATTTCTTGGGTTTGGCTTTCTTCTTCAGGTACTTCTTGAAAGGTTTTAGTTCCTTCTTGTTTATGTCATGGCTGCCGTTGTTATCCAACTGGGCAAAGTACCAGTGCACCACCCGCTCCTCTAAAGTGTGACTGGGGTCAGGCTCGACAAACCTGATGAAGGTCAGAGGAGCAGATGGGAGAAAAAAAAACATGGATGTAACAAACCCAGAAAAACTGAGATAAAGGGAAAAGTCATTTACAGACAGTGACACCTTTTAACCATTAGTCATACAATTACACAGAACATTTCAATATAAACCAGGCCAGAATAAACTGGAAACACAGAGGAGCTTCACATAAATACTGTAAAGATCACATGTTGAAGTTTATCTGAGAGGCTGATAAACACTTCTTAACTCTGCGTGAGACCCTGCCGTTTGATACGTGATCACATCCCCTTCTCACTCAAAAACAGTGCTCCATTTTGTTGCTGATAATGAAATGAAATCACAACATCCAATGCAAAAGAGATGTAACTCTGGTTCCTTCAGGCACTTTTGTTTCCTTGTTTTATTGCAGCTTAGCTTGCAATAGAATTATTTTAAATCAAATTTCTCCTTCGCTTCGCAGAACGAATTCACCTTTTCAGGCGGTGACTAGCTCAGTCTACATCAACATATTCCATGATATGGACAGCTGTACTCCAAAATACCTTTCAGTCCCATCTGTGTATACGGTTCTAGCATTGATGGAGAGGGAACACTAAAGCCTGTCAGGGTCTGTGCCAAAATCTGTGCATTGCATGTCAGAGAGAAAATATTAGCATGCAATTTGAGAAAAACCAGAAAAGGTGGAAGTTTTCCATGAATAATCAGCCATGAGGTATCTTGCTCACGTACAGTAGAGTAGAGTCCTGACACCACTTACCTCCCACCACCAGAGGGGGCTGGTGAGTTTATAGCTTGCACCATGTCTGTGGTGAGGGCATCTAATAAGCTTGTAATGAATTCCACTTTTTTCCCCTCCGGGCAGCCTGGCACAAATCAGAGACAAAAATACACCAGAATTACCTTCCACAACTAATTTGAGTCATTATGGCGGAGTGAAGCTGAAGAGCCTCCACAGCGTCGGCTGCACTCAACCAGTATGACAGATGTCAAACAGAAAACAGCTGTGAAAGGAAGCATGCGAACCACGTCCAAAGCTCGGCGACAAACCTGCTGTATGTGTTAAATGCTCATCGTTACTGATGAATTATTATGGATGTATTTTCAGCAGAGGTGAAATACACAGTTTGGCTGTTTTGGAAGACTTGAGAAAAACAGAGCTGAGGCACATGGCGAGAGGTGGAACAGAAGTGTGCGGTGATGAGAGAGCTTTGTTGAGCAGTGCAGACCTGTTAACTTTTATGACACAATTCTGAACACCTTGGGTAGCTCTTTTTAATTGCCCAGATGTATGGTTTTAATAGCACGCTAAACCAGTGCAAATTTTTCCCTCCTAATTGTGTCTCTTAAAGGGAAACTTCAAACGCAGCTGCATAGTAAACTAATCTTCTCATTCTGTCTTTTCTTTTTTTTTTTTTTTCAGTCTCTCCCTCTTTCTCTCAGGCTCTCTGAGTCAATCCCCTCCTCCTCTTCCTCTCAGCGTTTGTGGCCTCCTCGTCCCCTGCTCTGTTCACTTCTTTTCATTCCTTTTGTGCTGGCTCGGGACGTTCTGTGGGAGGTGATCCGCTGCCCTGCCAGGTGAATCCAATTAGCATTTCGTACGACATGACAAGCTCGGAGAAGCACCGCCTTGCTGTGCCTTAATCCAAGTGTTAAATTGGGGTGTTATGAAGCGCAAACCGTTATGTTGTATGGAGCCTATGTGGCAAGGTGTGAAGGGCGCAGTGTGGTGCAGGACCGCTGGCAGTGTCGAACAGGCTCTGAGCCATTTAGATTTGATCCAAAGACTTGAAAACACATTAAAGCTGCGCCAAACAAGTTAAAAGTACACACATCTTATCAAGTGCAGACAGACAGAGGGTTTATAGTAACGAAGGAATTCCCATTATGCCTAAATTGAGATTCCTAAATCACTGGCTACCAAGTTATTTGGCTGGTAACTCCTCAAAGCAATATTCACCTGCAGCACCTTGTCACAATTTGCATGTCTATAAACTGTGAGAAGTTCAAAGAAAAAGGCTCTTAAAAGGTAAAACACTGACAAGAAAAAGAAAAAGCAAAGATTAGAGGAAACTGAGAAAAAACATAGTTTTGTGCAGGAATCTTTTTCCCTCAGAACAATCTCTGTCAGATTGAGAGCCTCAAGATTTGCTTAAATGTCCCACAAAAATTCAGCAAGTTCAGACTTTTCCACCTACAGAAAGTGATGTGCAGCAGTGAGTAAGAACTCTGGCCAGATGACGCTTGGTTTAAACTGATCACAGAGCAGCTGGTTTAGTCAACATTAAATCCTCTGCAAATGTGGATGAGTCAGAGTTTGTAGACACATACCATCCGCTGAAATTAGCAGGTGACAAAATATACATCACTCCGACTCTTAATATTCCATAGATGGGGAAAATATAAGGTGAGCTTTAGTGTGTGGTCCAGTTTACTGTTACTACATTACAAAAATGCTGGTTGCTAAATTTATTTCCAGCTGCCGCTCGACCACTGCGCAGAGTTCAGCTTCAAGCATAAAAAATGATCTTTAAAGCAGCAATAAAATCCGAGCCTGTATTTCAGTCCTGGTCTTTTACAGTGTTCTGTCAGGACAGTGCCTAAATGTTAAATTATTAGACGATAGACTAGATAAAACCAAACTATTCTCAATGGTTTTTAAATATCAAGGAACAAAATGCAGTTCACTGAACTAGACGTGAACGGATCCCGGCCTTTGGTCTCAGGGGAAGAGCTCTTGTCTGCTCCTGCTCACAGAGGTGGTATTGTGGCATTTTGTGTACAGTGAGATTGAACCTGTTGCTGCATGCTGTTAACAGACTGCCCTCTCCAACATTCTTCTCTCCTCCTGCCTGGATGTGAAATGCCGTGCTTTGTTGTGGCGGTTCAGAACATCCGTCTACAGTACATAAAAATATCTCCACTCAGCAACCCGCAGTCTCCATCACCCCCAGCAGCCCCCCACACCCTCACCGCCGCACCCCGCAACACTCACACCTTCCATAAAACATGCCACACATCTGCTGCACAGTCAGGAGTCATGCTTGACTCTGTAAACTCACCAGATGGGGAATTAAATAAGAGTTACAATGCAACCTTAAATGATGGGGAAACAGAGGGGCAACAAAAGTAAGTGAGCAGTAACAAGGGCAGAGGAGTATGAGCCGAGGTTACGACCTCCAGGTTAGAGGAGAGTCTCTGATCTTTGCTGTCGGGGAATCAAACACCTCAAAGTGCGGCTTGGTCGACTGTTAATCAGAGCGATATCTGGTCAGGTAACATAAAGCTGGAGATAGAAATGTCCCAGGGCCAAGGAGTTGTCATACTACATAAGTTTGTGTGGTTACAAGTTCCATTTTTTTTTTTTTAAACATCCCATTCATGACCAGCACACCCACTGTGGATGCTAACAGTGTTTAGGATAAAGTTGGCAGCTCTGTCCCACTCAGTACTGAGAAGTTCACACTCCAGGTTTCAGGTTATTCGAGATAGCACTACGTTCGCCAAACACATCGGACAGTCTGTATCCTAAAAGTAAAAAACTGTGAAACATAGTTTGAAAATGCAAACAAACAAGCACGACCTTAACTGCTGAATGGTTTATCCAAGTATGTGGAAGCTGTGATTATCCACTGATGAGCTTGCAGACTTTTTTGTCTGGGTAAATGTAGCCAACATGTGCATATTTAAAACCCCTCTAGTGGGTTGAGAGTTTGAAACACTGAAGTCGAGTTCAACCAACCCACAGAGCTAATGTTAGCAGAATCTGCCGCCTGCCTTTGACCCACTGTAACAAAAACTACTTGAAAGTTAGAGTTACCTTTGTAACCAAATTTGGTTTACAATGATGAAAGCTTGACAGACATAGCAACAGTAATTACAGGGGTGGGGGTTAGCAAAATAACTTGAATGTTTTAAGGTTTTATTATTAATATCCTTGAGTATTTTAGCCTCTTCATTTGTTATCTAATAATCATTGTTAAAAGGCCATCGATTGAATCCAAGAAAGTTTCTAAAATCCCAAACTGAAAAGTGGATTTAACCTGTCAGGTCTCTGCCCTGGAAGGGATCCTCTGTGTCTGAGACGCGAGATCGTGCAGCACTGTCGCACTCCGGCTTCTGGTACCTGTTACACAGAGACGAGAGGACAGCAGGAACATGGCTGCATGAGACAGAAACAGAAGGAGGAAACAATAAACCTGTCGTTTAAGGAGCTACTAGTCCACAGTGAAAAATTTGGTTCAATGATAGAAAATAAAAGGAAATTAAACACAGTCTGTAACCGAACACTCTACAAAACAAAAGATTTTCCTGGTTTCCTTCCAGCCCTAAAAATAATCTGAGGTGGAGTTTAAGACTAGGAAATGTTACTGGTGCTGGAGAAATACTGTACTTATTATACCATCGAGACCTTTGTGATCACATGCAACCGGCTTAATCTGCAACCTGTTGCTCTTTGGTTTTAATCTGCATGTCCACTGTCGCTCTGGAAAGAATTATTGACAGTGATTAATCTTTCTTTTTATTAACACTTAATAAATAAATTTGATTTGACGTGCACAAAGCTTTGTTTCAGAGCCATAACAAACTGTTCGGCATTATGCGTGGCATGACTCGTTTTCTCCTGGCTATTGTATCAGTGCTGCTTGGAAAATTGAGCATGTGTGTCTCATTTGGCTTTTTTTTTTTTTTTTTTTTTTTCAAAGTAAAATCAACGTGTCATTTCTTTTTTCACAGTCTGCATGGCCACTGATCCAAGATGGGATGTCTGATGCATGACTCTGCACATTGCCGTCCAGGGGAAGGAAATTGGGATGAATGACATAAGGTCTGGTCCAAAATGCAGTAAATTCTAAAGTGGAGAAATATTCGCCTCAGAGTTGTCACTCAATAGATCTAAAATGCAGATGATAATTTAATCTGAAAGATTTACTTCTATGCATGTGGTTTATTTTATTTTTATGGACTGTCAATCGTTTTGAGTTGGCTTTTAAAAAAAAAAAAAGATATCGTATCCATTAGATACTAAATTATATCTCTCCAAGAAACACAACCTGTGTTATCCTAACTGCAAAAACCAAGGCATTTTTTTCTGATTTGAAGAAAGTCTGAACCTCATCCTGTAAAACATAAACCCTCTTGTGGAGAGAGAAGGATGATAACTCCTTCAGGAACAAAACCAGTTCATCAGTTTACCAGTGTGTGCTTCATTTTTCAAATCAATCTCTCTCTCTCTTTGTCTAGAGCTGTGATTCATGTCGTAGATACAAATCATAAAAACCTTTTTAAACAACCAAAACACGAGCAATGCGCATCATTAATTTAACCTTTTCTATGTTGCCTCATCTCCGTCCCTCTGACACACAGCTCTTGCAAAAACCCATTGTGTCTTTCCCCTTTCCCCGAAGACAATATAAACAGTAGCAACTGCACTGAAAACAAATGTCATACCAAATGCTGATTGTTTATGGCAAGCTAAATGATATTCCCATCAGGGCTTGAAGCATCTTTTTTTTTGGCCAAATAAACTGGCAACAGCAGCGTGGATCCACAGTTTCCTCGAGAAGTTTAACGTCAGTGTTGTTCTGTTGGTTGATTGGTCAGTCCACCACCTTGTTCCAGATCGAAATACAACAGCAACTATTTGATGGAGCGCCATTAAATTTGTTAGAGACATTCATGTTTCCCAAAGGATGAATCGTACTGACTTTAGTGAGTCTTTGACTTTTTCTAGCGCCGCCACGAGGTTCACGTTTGTGGTTTTGTTTTGCACTTTGTGTTTAGTGCTAAATAATTAGCATGCTAACACATTCAAATAAGGTGGTGAACATGGTAAACATTATACCTGCTTAACTTTAGGTGTTAGCATTATCATTTTGGGCATCTTAGCGTGCTGACGTTAGCATTTAGATTGAAACAACATGGCCAGACACCTCACAACAAGCTACTGTATGTACAGTATGTTGTAACAGCACTTCTCATTAATAGTATGGAGCCTGGCTGGAGCTTCCAAGTGTGTGTTTCCCAGCTCTGGTACCAACAAAGCTGAACAGACGGTATGTTTTTGTGCCTATGTTCTGCTGCCAGGATATCAGATAATCATGCCCACTTTGGCAGATAAATGAAGTAGACATTTAATTAGATAAAGAAAGAAGCTGAGTGTATTTTCCAGCGGACATCTGACTATCACAGTAGCAACCAACAGCAAGGACTAGAAGATACAAAACTTAGTGCTACTACAATAAAAAACAGAGATAAGAGTTAATTGCCAATTCTTATAACTATCTCACCTGGTGGAGGTTCCAGGAATGGGCCGCCCCGTGTCCACCAGAACACACCAGCAGTAGCCTGTGGACTGGTGGCACTGGACCGGTTTGTAAAGGCCTCCGGGTCCACAGTCGGGGATGAAAATGGCCTCACGAGGGTTCTGCCGATCCTCGTCCAGGGCGCTCTGTCTCTCCTGGTCACAAGAGGGAACTTTCTCTAAAACCATGAGAAACACACTCAATACAGAGAGACACGATGTGGACACACAGAAAAACATTAAGCATCTGTCACATGGTTATTGGTGACGGTGTAGGACATTTATCGTCGTTTCAAAATGTATATATAATGCCATGCTTCTGTGTGTTGTGCTTGGTATATGTCACTATTTGGAGGCAAGTTGTCCTGCACTGCAGTTTCCTGTCAATCAACCACTTTCAATTGGGACTGGCCAGCTACCAGCTGATAGATGATGCCATCTCTGCAGACCAGCTGTTGTATGTGTGGGACCTGCTGTCTGACGTTGTTGTGTCGATGTCAGAAGAGTTACCCTACACACTCTACATCCTGGCACTGTATGTGGATAGAGTGGCAGCAGAGTTATGTAGGATTGAGTTGTGACCAGGATTATAACGTAACTGCTTCATCTCACGGGCGTATGCAGCTGGATGTCAGGCATCGCTCATCTGTGATATATGACCACATACAACCACCTGTTTTCAAGTGGCAGAAGTTCAATACTGAGATCGTCATGTGATGACAACTGAGCCGTCTCAGGAAAACATCTGCTGATGACGGTGAGATGCGGATAAAACAAATAAGTGGATCTTCATTTAAGGCTTTTTGGGAAATCAGTTTGTGATTGCATCATCCAAGTTGTTTGGGTTCCAAGTACTTGGCTTCAATAATTCCCTTCAGAAACTCCCTGCTGCTGTACGTCCACCTTCCTATGAAGTCTATGGATCCACCACATGTAGGGTGTAAACAAACGAAGCACACCAAGCTGTATCGACTAATCTGTACCCAGAGACATGTTGGACTGGTCCTGTTTCATGCTGTGTGACTTCAGCTTGAAGGACTGTTGCCGTAAAACCCTCACCAGGAATTCTTTTCCCACCATGATGTCTCATATTTATCTGTTCAACAACAGCCACTCGGCCCCTTGAGAGATGCTCCTGCAGCACCTTGTCCCACCACACTGTATTTACTTTCACATCCATTTAGTCCATTGCTCACTCTTGAGCCAAGTACAACAGAGCTGCATGCAAAGCGCGTTACCATGGCGATGAAGTGTGCTTTTACCACTCCTGATCCATTTCTCATTTTACATTCAAGTGCGCTATGAAGCATTAAGCTACAATAACAGGGTCACACTAACCGTTTGGAGGGTTTTCTACGGGGTGGTGACATGTGGTATTTTCACATTGTGGAGCTTATTAGTGCCACAGCGGTGCCGGTAGTCTCAGCTCACACAGTTCCAGTAACCAAAGCATAATTAGAACAATACGGCACAGTCACTGTCTGGTTCAAGTCACCATCAGGAAAGGAAGCTTGTGAAATTCAATATGGAACTTCTCCTCTTGTACAGAATTTCGAGCATATTCTCAACCCCGGGACAAAGATGGATGAAGTACTCACATCCTTTACACAGAGCTGCTCCAGTCAACATTTTTATATCAACAATAAATCAAATGACTGTGATGTGAGAGGGTTCGCTTGTAGTGACAATCCCACTGAGAATCATCAACAGACTCTGCAGTTCCCCTCCGCTCTGCTGAGACTTTGTGTGTTTTCCGTCGTTGTTTTGGTTTGACAGCCCACAACTTTACTGTTTTGGTTCAGTCTCATCGCTCTCATCAACCTCGTTTCCAGATGCAGCGAGCAGCTGTTTTTAGGAAACCAAACCACAGCAGTAAATGGCAGATGGACAAAGTTAGCAACTAGCTGGGAAAGCAAGTAGAACATTTATCAGCTAAAGAGAAAAATGTTTTTCTCAGGACTCTGTAGAAAACAAAACAGAGCAAAAAAGGAGAACGAGCATTGGACTTACATTCACAACTGTGTGACTAGTTTCCTGACACATTCGGCGTTAAAGCGTTGTGAGGTGGCAATATGATAATGTTGTGTCTGTAGCTTTCTGCACTGCCCTGAAGTGGCCCACAAAGTCAGGGAATGCAGGTTTAACTAGGAATACAACAAGTTACGGTACATGTTGAACAACAAAGAGTAAATCTGCATCTTACTTTGCTTTTGTCAAAACGAACACACCCAGGCATTAGCAGTTCACAGCTCAGGAGAAGTGATGAGCAGCAGGTTGAGCAGCGGGCCTGAGGCCTGGCTGAGGAGGGTGGGGTGTGTGTGTGTGTGTGCGCGTGTGTGTGTGTGTGTGTGTGTGTGTGTGTGTGTATGTTGGGTGGGGGGGTGTTCATGTTTCCTGAGCATAGCTGCCAACACAAAACTAAACGTGTCCTCGCACCAGTGAACTTTTTCTTCTGTGAAGACTCACACTCAAGTGTTCTTAGCGCTGCTCCGTGGCTCGGGTCCCCGCCAAGGTTTCTTCACATCCAAATTATTTAGCACTGTTTATTATACAGAGGTTATACTGGCGCCAGGAGCTAGGATTCCCAAAAGAAAATTGTTTTTATACATATAAATGGAAAAAGGCTGGACGCTTGCAATGTAATCCTCTGTTTTGTGTGGATTTGAAATTCAATCTACAACTTCTTTGCCTCCCCTGGATATCTGCATTTCTGCTCTATTTATTTTTTGTTTTTGTTTCTTTTTCAATTTAATTTTTCTTCCTCTGGCAAGAGCTGAATGATGAGAAACACAAACCCTCAGCAAACAAATATTGTCCTGAAAAAACACACACACACACACACACACACACACACACACACACACACACACACACACACACACACACACACACACACACAGGTCAGGAACAGTTGTAACAATTTGCTCGTTGTTGTGCTGATTTTCTTTAGGCCCAGCCGATAATGGACGAAATGCGACCGTCTGCAGTATCTTTGATGAGAACAGTCCTGCCCCGTTTTATGCCTTTCAGTTTGGCCCTTGTCCTCCAGGCTCCAGGCCAAGTGAAAGTATTTTCAAATCCTCTCCTACTTACTTTATTTCTAAGTTTCTCTTTTCCTTCATTTATCATTCGACCTCCATCTCTCAGTCAATCCCTTCCTCCCACCTCTATAAGCCTCTCATTCTTTCCCTTTCCCTCTCTCTCTCTCTCTAACTGCCTCTCTCCATCCTAATACCTCCCTCCCACCCCCCACCCACCCAGCGCTCTCTCTCTCCTCTTCACTTCATCCCAATGGTTTTCAGCTGTGGAGTAATCACTGCAATATTGTCTCTAGCAAGCCTCCTCTGCAGTTAAAATAGCGGAAATGTCAGTAATAGGGGAACTCTGTGTGGAGGTATGTAGGTGCATGTGTTTGTCTTTATGACTGAGGGTGCAACAAAACCAGAGAGATGATGGAGGGTTCACCCCTAAAATGGATATGTCATTTTTGACACATCATTCATCAGTGTGTTTGGTTACTGTTGTCGCTTATTGTGCTGAAAAGTAAAACACAAGTGCAGGTTCCCTCAAATGAGACACAAAGATGTGATTAAAAGAAACAAAAAACTCCTTTTAAGCTGCAGACTCTCATACAGACTCATGCTCTCTCTGACACGATCGCATTATATTCTTTCAACATTTTGTGTCTCTGTTGTTTGGCCTCGCCACAAGGGAGGAGTGGTGGTTAGCGAGTTTCTGGTTCTCTACACTTTTATAAATGAAATGCACGACAGATCGCCCCCCCCTCCTCGCAACACTGGAACAACAGCACGTCACAGTCTGGCAACAAAGCATCTGTGTGAAAAATGGACTTTGCATTGCTCTGCCTAAGCAAACAGGTTTCACTAACACAATCTCCGCATCACCTTAAATCATAATTATGGGGTATCCAGAGACAGAGAGCCAGTAAATGAATAATGAAGTTTATGTGCACACAGGAGGGCTACTTTGTGAGCACTCAGGTTTTCCAGCATGCAGGGAGAGAAAGACAGAGAGGAGGTGTAATATTGAGCACTTGTTGCACCAAATCTCTCGCAAAGGGAAGAAGAAAGAAAGCAAACTCTGTATCGTGATCTCTCCACTTGACTGCTTGCAATTACAGACTCTCTGGATTCAGGCAAAAACAAACTCACACACAAGTGATGGAAGAAGTATTCAAGTCCTTTACTTTAGTAGATTCCATGCAACAAGCAGAAGTCCTGCATTTAAATGTTACTTAAACTTAATTTTACAATTATGGAAAAAACTATGTGGGAGGGGTTTCTGTGATGAACCTACAGAGAGTTGTCGCCTGAATCTGCAGATCCCCTCAGCTGTACGGAGCTGTATAACAACTTAGCACTTAGCTGTCCGGCAAATACCTTAACTCAGGTGGTGGAGACCAAACACAGAGCTCAAACAGAGTGAATGTTTATTTTAATTTATATTCACTAAATGGCAAGAAACATGACTCCGACCATGTCGCTGTGTAACTGCTAAAGAAAAGCGGATGATACTGTATCAATGTGTTCAGTTTCTTTCTGCTTCCCCCAAGTGGCCAAAACATCAGTTGGTGCAGTGAAAGAATAAATGTGAAATCATTTTTATTATGATTAACCTGACAGTTATTTTTTTAATTGATTGTTTTGTCTATAAAATGTGAAAAAAAAGTGACCAACAGTTCAAAACCTAACAATTCAGTTTTCTATCATTTACAGAAAAGCAGCAAATTCTCACATTTCAGAAGCTGCAACTAAAATGTTTCTGCTCAAAAAGTGACTGAAATGATCGATGTTGATCGTTTTTTCAGCCCTAAACGGTTGACGACTGACTAATACTTTTAGCTCTCTTTGACTATATCAATGAATGAAGTATCAGAAGTAAAAGTACTGGCTGTGAAGAAGGGTTGGGTCACGTGACTGTGGATGTAAAATGTGAATCTGTAGAGTTAGCTACAGCTGTCTCGTCAACGTAGAGACGTGCAATATTTCTTTCTGAAAACAAAGACAAGGTCTGCCCAAAGGAAAAGAACCCGAACCTCAGAGTTGTACCCAAGTACAGTACAGTTGTGACACGCACAGATAAACACACTTTTCATGTACATATACGTGTTCAGACGCACAGAAACGGACATACAAACGCACGTCCGCAAACAGACCTACACACACATACATACTGTTTGCAATCATATACAGATGCACTGGCAGACACACACACACACTCACACACACACAGTCATGTCTCAAATGTGATGACCCCTCTCTGTTGGCCTTGTCGCTTTGTCCTTTGATGACACCGGATGCTAATTGGAAACAGGAAGCTGGCCTTTCCACAGACGTTTCAAAGAGCTGTCACAGCGAATCTCTCTCAGCTCAAACACAATCCAAGACGCTGCTCTGACCACAGTTTCCCCTGCCACATCACCATCACTCAAAAGAAACCTTATATTACAATCAACTGTTTGTGTGCTCTATTGTGTGGGAGTCTAGCCCGTAAATAAGTAAGAGCATGAGCTGAATCTGAAACAGTGAAAAGACAGTGACATAGCATGCACACAGTAACATTTATTTATTCTAAATATTAATACGCCGATCGACACCAAAGCAAAAATGCACAATTTGAGACTATACACACACACACACACACACACACACTCACTCACTCACTCACTCACTCACAACCCCCACCACATTCACTCCTTGACTTGTTGCAGCAGTGTCAAAGGCGTCCAGCTGCCCAGAGGGTAGTGAACATGTTGAGGCGTAATTGAAAAGGAGACAGAGAAAGCTAAACAAATTACACCAAAGGGAAGAAACCAAGAAACATAATCCTGGCAGCGCGGGCCTGTCCTCAAACTGGAAATGTTTCACATTTCCATCTCAAAACTGGTGGCTTTGAAACCCGGGTAACACCGGAGACGAGTTGATGTACGCTTTATTTAGGGTCCAGGCTTCTTCAGATCAATGTGTGGCTCATAACTGCGTCCTGAGAACAGAGCAGTGGTGCTATTTGAGGAGGTGGTTACACTGGGAGGAGAAGGCGGCGTATCTGGTATATTCAAGGACACGATCCCTCGCTGGCTTTAGTTTGATATGGCACTGTGTTGATAGCGCACTACATCACATTAATTAGGAACATCCCTCGGCTGAATATATGAGTGTCAGAATAAGGAGGCGTTTCTTTCTCTCACCTTGCTTCTTGGAAGTGGAGCTGTTCTGCTTGGCCAGCTGTTTTATCCACAGCGTTGGAGCCGTTATCTCTGCAGTGGTGGGAGGACAGAGGAGAGATCAATAGCTTTCACACGTTACTTCAGCTCGTCAGCTGCGCCGACACCACCAGCAGTTGCATATTTCAGACACAATTTGTACAGCCAAGCTTTGCCCACAAAACCAAAATTAAAAGTCCATCCAGGATCCCATTAGTTCCAAAAAATATCAAATATGTCATCTAGTATTTTTGACATCTGGACTTTTCCATTTGATGTAATGCTGCGTTTTTTAAGAAATAGCTTATTGGGTTTCAGTATTAAATTCGTGAAATACTGTAGCTTCACTAAAGTCTTGGAAGACGTTGCGGATCTAAAGCCTAAAAGTACACAAAGCAGAAACTGTGAGCCAGCTTTTAAATCATGACGGTCAGCATAAATTCACTGCATTGACCTTAGCTAACGAAGTGACCATATTACCACTGTGTCACAGGTGGAGAAGTAGTTAGAGGAGACTTACCGTCACCCTCAGGGGGGACATGAGTCTCCATGGTGGGTGTGGGCTTGGAGCCATCATCTGGGTTAAGGGTGAGAAAGAAACGGAAAGAGACTACCATTATTGAGGTTAATACAATCTACTCTCCAGAACTGTTGAATGGTTGGGATTTGCA